TAGGTTAGGTTAGTTAGGTCAGGTTAGGTTAGGGTTAGGTTAAACTCGGAATATAATTATGTGTGTGTGTGTGTGTTTGTGTGTGTGTGTGTGTGTGTGTGTGTGTGTGTGTGTGTGTGTGTGTGTGTTCTTATATCACCAGTACCAACCACTACCACAACAACCACTATACCACCACCATTGTCAATACCACTACCTACCACTACTACCACTATCAATACCATCTTTATAACAGTAGTAGTAGTAATGGTGATGGTGGTGTAGTAGATGGTGGTAGTAGTGGTGGTGGATGGTGGTAGTGGTGATGGTGGTCGTAGTGGTGATAGTGGTAGTAGTGATATGGTGGTAGTGTTCCTCCTCCTCCTCACCTTAAGCCGCTCGACCAAGCCTTAACCAGCCCCGCCTACGAAATGACCCGCCCACCACCACACCTACCACCACTACCACCATCACCACCACTACCACCATCACCACCACTACCACCATCACTACCACTCACCACCATCACCACTACTACCACCATCACTACACTACCATCACCACCACTACTACCACCACCATCACCACCACACCTACCACCACTACCACCACTACCACCATCACCACCACCACCACCATCACTACCACCATCACCACCACTACCACCATCACCACTACCATCACCACTACTACCACCATCACTACTACCACCATCACCACCACTACTACCACCATCACTATACCACCATCACCACCACTACTACCACCATCACCACCACAACTACCACCATCACCACCACAACCACAACTACCACCACCCAAAGACCAGTCACTCTTGGGAATCGTGTGTTTAAAAATCCAACAAAAATGGCGGACAAATATCACAGAGACTCTACCTGACCTAACACAGTCTCTCTCACCAGTCAGAGGGAAATATTCTCTCTCTCTCTCTCTCTCTCTCTCTCTCTCTCTCTCTCTCTCTCTCTCTTTGTCTAATAATTCTTTGTCTAATAATTCTTTTGTCTTATTCTTCTTTCAACCTTCTTTTTCCTTCCCTCCTTCCTTCTTTCCTTCTCCTTCCTCCCTCTCCCTCCTTCCCTCCCTCCCTCTCTCTCAGTCTTCAAGAGCCGACTTTGATCGTAAGGAAGTCAGAAAATGGCGATTGTGAGAGTGAAGAGGGGGAGGGGGAGAGGGGGGGAGGAGGAGGGGGAGAGGGGGAGAGGAGGGGGGGAGGGAGGGCGAGAGGAGGGGGGGGAGGGGAGGGGGAGGAGGGAGGAAGAGAAGGGCAGGGGGAGAGCAGAGATGGAGGCAGCACACACACACACACACACACACACACACACACACACACACACAGAAAAATGGGGTGAAGGTTGGTAGGAATGGGGCCTAGTGGGAATGGGACCTAGTAGGAATGGGGCCTAGTGGGAATGGGACCTAGTAGGAATGGGGCCTATTGGGTTACGTTAGATTACGACTGGGGCCCGTTAGGACTGGGACACGTTTGACCAATCATCGGCGTCAGGATACTAATGACCAATCGGTACTAAGCTAACAAGGTTACCAATTAAGAGTGAGCTGCTGGAGGGCCAATCAGGTACAAATTAGCTGTAGACCAATCAGATTTAACACACCTGAAGAACCAATCAAAATTCAGTTCGTTGTGACCCTAATCAATATTAAATTATGTATTAACTAATCAGTTGTTAATCAGCTTATTAGCCAATCAAAACCTCATTTGCGAAAAGGTAATCAAGGGAACGTTACCTGTGGACCAATCAGGGAGCTACCAGCTGTTGTTATTGTTTACATACCATCAGCTGACTGACTCGTGGACCAACCATTGTACTCACCTGTGGAAGAAATTATTATTATTATTATTATTATTATTAGTTATTATTATTATTATTATTAGTTATTATTATTATTAGTTATTATTATTATTATTATTAGTTATTGTTATTGTTATTATTATTATTATTATTGTTATTAGTTATTATTATTATTAGTTATTATTATTATTATTATTAGTTATTATTATTATTATTGTTATTGTTATTATTATTATTATTATTATTATTATTATTATTATTATTGTTATTATTATTATTAGTATTAGTATTATTATTATTTTTTTAAATGATAATAATGATAAAAATGACGCAGAAGAAAATATTAATAAAAGTTAATAATAAGAATAAATAAATAAAAAAATGAATAAAGATGAAAAAGCAACACTGAATAAAGCAACGAATTAATCAACAGATAATAAACAAGAGAATAAAGATAAGATAATAAAGTAAAATAATAAAACACGACGCTAAAAGTGAACACAAGGAGAGTTAAGATAAGATGAAAATAATGAATAAAAGAGAATAGGCAAATAACCGATAAAGAAGCACAAAACAAAAGTGATTAATTAACAAAAGTAAACAATTAAAAAAGCAAGAAAACGGAGAAAATTATAAAAAATAGAAGAAAATAAAAAAAAATTAAATAAAAGATTAAAAAAAAGTAAAATAAAATAGCTAAATAAAATTGACTCGATACATTAAGCAAACAATTTAATAAAAGCTTCATAAAATACAGTAATTAATGACCATAAATTGTGGGGAGTAATTACAGCCACCTGATACAGAGCAATTAACTTAATGCTCATAGCTCATTGGCTGTTGGGGAGTCACTGTAACAATAGCTGTAATAGTAGTTGATTTAGGATAGGTTATGGTAGTTTAAGGTAGTTCAAGATAGTTTATGGTAGTTCAAGGTGGTTTATAGTAGTTTATAGTAGTTTATGGTAGTTCAGTCTTTTAATCTATCTAGAGATGGTTAAGTCCGGTATAGAGGTTATTGGTTATATAAGTCCGGTATAGAGGTAATTGGTTATATAAGTCCGGTATAGAGGTTATTGGTTATATAAGTCCGGTATAGAGGTCATTGGTTATATAAGTCCGGTATAGAGGTCATTGGTTATATAAGTCCGGTATAGAGGTTATTGGTTATATAAGTCCGGTATAGAGAGGTAATTGGTTATATAAGTCCGGTATAGAGAGGTTATTGGTTATATAAGTCCGGTATAGAGGTTATTGGTTATATAAGTCCGGTATAGAGAGGTAATTGGTTATATAAGTCCGGTATAGAGAGGTAATTGGTTATATAAGTCCGGTATAGAGATAAAAATTGGCTATATAAGTCCGGTAGAGAGGTACTGGTTATATAAGTCCGTATAGGTAATTGAATATGAGGTCCGGTATAGAGAGTAATGGTTGGTGTTCCGTAGAGAGAGGTAACAATTATAGAGAGGTAATTGGTTATATAAGTCCGATATAGAGGTAATTGGTTATATAAGTCCGGTATAGAGAGGTAATTGGTTATATAAGTCCGGTATAGAGAGAATCAGGATATAAAAAATCATATTAAATCTTCAACCTCTCGACCAATCAGCGATCGGAATTCAAATCTTTGAATGTAACGACTCCGACGTTGATTTTATCCGTCGCAAGGCTCCCCGAGGCTCCCAAGGGCCCTCCATCACCTCCAATGGAGCCTCAGGAGCGAGAGAACACAGCATCCAATCAGTGGCTCCCAATCTGTGAAGCGGAGGAAGGCGGCGATTGGCGAAGCATCACAGCGATTGGCAACTGTGACGCCGCCATCACTGAGCCTTGAGGGGGAGGGTGGGAGGACGGGGACTACCTCGGTAAGTCCCCAGCCATGCTAGCCCACGTCCTCACTAGCCAATCAGAACACCAGGATTGAGAAAACTCCAAGGATACAACCAATGAGGAGACAGGGTTTGGGAGTCTGTGGGAGTATTCAAGAGGGTCGTCCTCCTCACACCCAGATGGGGACGTGATTGGACACACAATGACTGACACAGAAGCACTTGTCTCTCTCTCTCTCTCATTTTTATTATTTATTTATTTATTTACACCAGATATAATATTTTTAACAAGCCACGGAGATGAATTTAACATTTTTAACAAGAAATTTAAGTTAACTAGTGTGATATGCTTTAAATAAGTCAATTACGAATGATAATATACTCGTTCCAATAATGTGGTTGACTTTATTTCAAACACCGATAATTAAGTCTTTTAAAATCTTCTATAATATTGCCTTTGATTTATTTTTCAGTCTTTTGATCACTAATACAGGAGGAAATTGTTTTATTAAGTCTTATTTATCATTATTAACACACATACCACGTCACGGGTTCGATCCCCAGGTTTGAGCGGTTAAGGTACAGATCAGAGCCAAAGTTACCACCAAGAGAAACTCATCAGCAATAATACTTAAAATAAATAAATAAACCATTCTGTCAGGTCATTATTATTATTATTATCTCCTATATTTCAGTGGCTAAATACTGTATATAACTCATCATCTATATTAATATTATATAATTATTAGATATATAATTAGTATATTTATTTTGGCTCAGGTGACTATAATTTGTGGCTTCCAGTTAATATTCTGATTCTGAACCAGTTATTAATAATTCATGATGGCGGTGATGGGGCTGGGCTGGGGGCTGTCTGACCATGATGTTACTCACCTGGGCTGGGGGCTGTCTGACCATGATGTTACTTACCTGGGCTGGGGGCTGTCTGACCATGATGTTACTTACCTGGGCTGGGGGCTGTCTGACCATGATGTTGCCCACCTGGGCTGAGGGCTGTCTGACCGCAGTCATTGCCTCACCTGGGCTGGGGGCTGTCTGACCATGATGTTACTCACCTGGGCTGAGGACTGTCAGCCATGATGTTACTCCTGGGCTGGGGACTGTCTAATCTTTGCTGGAACTCACCTGGGGGCTGGTTTGACAGTGCTGGGGTGATGTGGCTGACCTGGGGGCTGGGTAAAAGTGATGATGAGGGTGATGGGGGCTGGCCTGGGGACTGGGTGGTAGTGATGATAAGAGGTGATGGGGACTGACCTGGGGCCTGACCTGGGGAACAGGTAGTAATGATAGGAGGTGGGGCTGACCTGGGGCTGGCCCCAGTCATGATGTTACTCACCTGGGGGCTGGCCATTCATGGTGGGGGTGATGGGGCTGGACCAATCAGTAAAGTTGGCCACACCGTCGACGCTACAGGAGCCCCCAAGAGCCCCAAAAACATAGCGTCGACTGATGGCTGGAGAGGCGTTGTTGGAGGGGGTGACGGTTGGGGGGGTGATGACGGGAGGGGTGATGACGGGGGGGGAGGAAGCTGAGGTGGTGAGGGGGACGGACTCAGCCTCCAACTTGTCGTCCAGTATGTGGTTCATCATGGTGAGGGCCTTGCCTAGTGGTCCTCTGGTCACTCACTGTTCCTCTGGTCACTCACTGTTCCTCTGGTCACTCACTGGTCCTCTGATCACTCACTGGTCCTCTGGTCACTCACTGTTCCTCTGGTCACTCACTGTTCCTCTGGTCACTACTCCTGTGGGGGCTGGTCACTCACTGGTCCCACACCTCCTTTAACTCCAGCGGTGTTCACTTAAATGGTCGATCAAGAGACACACCTCGAGTGCTTCTCCAAAACCCCCCTCACACTCAAGTAGTTAAGACACTCTCACACTCAAGCGCTACACACTCTCCACGTTTCTCGAGTCTCTCTCTGAACTGCTAAAACAAGAGTTCCAATCACTTCAAATTCGAGAGAGTTCAGTGGTGTTACAATGTCTGTCTCTCTGAGTGTCTAATGAATCTTTAAAACACCACCATTAAAACACCTCTATATCCAATTTTTCACTTTCCCAAACACTTAACAACGAATCCAAACACAACCAAACACCACAAAGTCTCAATGCAGTGGTTCAAACACCTTAATATAAACCATCCATTAAAACACCGGTATTAAACTATTAAACCTCTCAACAACATAAACCTTCAGTAGAGTAAGGAAAGGTTTAATACTCCTGCTTTATGTATCACCTGTAATACCTGTAATTAATACGTCATTACAGTTTGTACTTCCTGTAAGATAATTATTTGCGTTATTAAAAGTAAATAAAGATTAAATCGTCTTTTTTGTACACGTCTAACGAGAGAGAGAGAGAGAGAGAGAGAAGAGAGAGAGAGAGAGAGAGAGAGAGAGAGAGAGTACATTTCACCAATACACGACGAATATTCAACCACAAAACAACCAACAACAACAAGAAAAAGATAAATACGAATAAAAACAAAACGATAATAATAAATAAACAAAAGGATAAATAACACACAGATGCAATAACTCAATTAAGATCGATATTAGGTTTAATTAACGAGGGAAAATAAGACTTATGGTTAGATACGGCAATTATTGGGGGCAAGAACGACACACATTTGAGTATTAATGAGGGCGAGCCAGGTGAGGGAGAGAAAGGTGAGGGAGAGCCAGGTGAGGGAGAGCCAGGTGAGGGAGAGCCAGGTGAGGGCGAGCCAGGTGAGGGAGAGCCAGGTGAGGGCGAGCCAGGTGAGGGAGAGCCAGGTGAGGGAGAGCCAGGTGAGGGAGAGCCAGGTGAGGGGCAGGCCAGGTGTGAGAGCCAGGTGAGGCAGGCTGGAGTGAGAGAGCCAGATGAGGGAGTCAGGTGAGGCCCAGGTCAGGTGAGGAGAGAAAGGTGAGGAGAGCCAGATGAGGAGAGTCAGGTGAGGGCAGGTCAAGGTGAGGGAGAGAAAGGTGAGACAGGCCAGGTGAGGGAGAGAAGGTGGGGGCAGGCCAGGTGAGGAGGAGGAGGCCAGGTGAGGGAGAGCCAGGTGAGGGAGAGCCAGGTGAGGGCGAGTCAGGTAAAGGCCAGCGACACACCTCATTAAGGACAGGTGTGTCGGCTCTCACCTGTGTAATATATTTAGCTCCTCTATTAATACGTATAATTATTCCTTTATTTTCATTCTTGATTTAAATTATTCGGTTATATAATTTGGGTAATTATATGTTGGTATAATTTTGGGTGAATGTGTTTTATTAACTTTTATCCCTATAACAGACAGACAGACAAACTGATAGATAGACAGACAGACAGACAGACAGACAGACAGACACAGACAGACAGACAGACAGACAGACACAGACAGACAGACAGACACAGACAGACAGACAAACAGACAGACACAGACAGACGAAGACAGACAGACGGGCAGAAGACGAACAGAGACGAGCAGACAGACGAGGCAGACAGATAGACAGACAGACAGACGAACAGACAGACACAGACAGACAGACGAACCAGAATAATTGCCATGACCCACGCCTCTCCTCCCCCCAAACATACACTCACACTCAGCCCTTAAGTGCAAGGTCATGTTTTCAATGGATTAGTCAGGAGCTAATCCAGGGCACTGAGTCAGCGATTAGACACACCAATCACCATTCATTATTTTGAGACCCTTGTTAATCTTCCAATCGACAGGGGTTAGGTTAGGTTAGGCTGGGTTAGGTTAGGTTAGGTTAGGCTGGGTTAGGTTAGGCTGGGCTGGGTTAGGTTAGGTTAGGTTAGGCTGGGTTAGGTTAGGCTGGGTTAGGTTAGGTGGAGTTAGGTTAGGCTGGGTTGGGTTGGAATTGAGCTGGGTTGGGATAGGTTGGGTTAGGTTGGGTTTGGGTTAGAGTTGGGCTGGGTTGGGAGTTAGGTTAGTGTTACAGTAAAGAGTGGGTTGGGATAGGTTGGGTTGGGTTAGTTAGGTTAGGTTAGGCTGGGTTAGGTTAGGTTAGGCTGGGTTAGGATAGGTTGGGTTAGGTTAGGTTGGGTTAGGTTAGGCTGGGTTAGGTTAGGTTAGTGTTACAGTAAAGAGTGTGACGAGAATATGTCCCCTAACCTAACCTAACCTAACCTAACCCAACCTAATCTAACCCAAGGTAACGCAACATCAATATAACATCAACGCGAAGTAACAGGTGACAGACAACGTAACATAACAAGGTTGGGAGACGGCCTTCATGATCTCTATAGACCCCCACCTGCCCCGGGGTATAAGAGAGGGGTTAATTGACAGACAGGTAGAGGGGGAGGAGAGGGAGGGGAGGGGTGAGAGGAAGGGATGGAGGGAAGAAAGGGGTGGAGGGAGCGAAGGAAGGAGGGTAGGTAACGGAAAGTGAAGGAATACTCACCCCTCCTCAACCCCCGTGTCAATATATAGACAGACAGACACAGACAGACAGATAGATAAAGACAGAGAGACAGACAGACAGAGAATGAGACAAAGAGAGAAACAGACAGACAGAGAGACAGAAGTGAGAGGTGAGAGAAGTGAGGGAAGAAACGCCGGGTGAGATTCCATTGAGGAGAAATTGGAATCCAGTCTGATTAATATTGTCTGAAATACTTTGGTCAAGGGCGGTTATTGTGCCACAGTAGGGCGGTTATTGTGCCACAGTAGGGCGGTTATTGTGCCACAGTAGGGCGGTTATTGTGCCACAGTAGAGTGGTTATTGTGCCACAGTAGAGTGGTTATTGTGCCACAGTAGGGCGGTTATTGTGCCACAGTAGAGCGGTCACTTAATGACCCCATCGGAGACTGAATCACGCAATTAAGAGTGCTAAATGACCCAACTGCCGCACGACCCTCAACTACCGTACACTTTGACAACAATTATAAATGTCTGTTTGTTTACTGACCTAACTGTTTAATGGCGCATGTCGGTTAGGTTAGGTTAGGTTAGGTTAGGTTAGGTTAGGTTAGGTCACGTGTCTCAATCTGAAACACACAAATAAGTTATTTCCTGAGGCAACACAGTGATCTCCATCTGCCTCACGTTTGACCCCTTGTTGACCTTAGCTGACCTGTGTGACCCCTTGTTGACCTGGTGTACCCCTTGTTACTCCCATATTGACCTAAGTTATCTGAGTGACTCCTGATAATTCCTTGTAACTGACCCCAAACGACCTCTAACGACTTTTGGTGACCTCGACGCCTTCAGATGACCCACCGCCCCCCTTCCCTCCTCCTGCTTGACCTAAGATCACTACACGTGGCACCAGCGCCCACAGAACAACCCTCGGTGCCTCCTGCTTGCCCTAGGATCACTACACGTGGCACCAGCGCCCACAGAACAACCCTCGGTGCCTCCTGCTTGCCCTAGGATCACTACACGTGGCACCAGCGCCCACAGAACAACCCTCGGTGCCTCCTGCTTGCCCTAGGATCACTACACATGGCACCAGCGCCCACAGAACAACCCTCGGTGCCTCCTGCTTGCCCTAGGATCACTACACATAACACCAGCGCCCACAAGCAGGAGGCGGGGCTGGCACACCCTGTCACCTCAGCCTCCTGGCACCCTTCCAACCGCCTTGGTCCTCCTCTGAAACTCCCCTGAACCTGAGAATCCTTGGACCTGAAACCTTTTGGACGTCAGAATCATTAGGATACCGAAGAGCCTTTTTGGACGCGTCAGAATCCCCTTGGACCTGAAACCTTTTGGACGTCAGAATCATTGGACCTGAAACCTTTGGACGTCAGAATATTTGGACCTGAAACCTTTTGGACGTCAGAATCCTTGGACCTGAAGAAACCTTTTGGACGTCAGAATCATTGGACCTGAAACCTTTTGGACGTCCAGAATCCTTGGACCTGAAACCTTTTGGACGTCAGAATCATTGGACCTGAAACCTTTTGGACGTCAGAATCATTGGACCTGAAACCTTTTGGACGTCAGAATCCTTGGACCTGAAACCTTTTGGACGTCAGAATCCTTGGACCTGAAACCTTTTGGACGTCAGAATCATTGGACCTGAAACCTTTTGGACGTCAGAATCCTTGGACCTGAAGCCTTTTGGACGTCAGAATCCTTGGACCTGAAGCCTTTTGGACGTCAGAATCCTTGGACCTGAAACCTTTTGGACGTCAGAATCATTGGACCTGAAACCTTTTGGACTTAAAATTCATGGCCCGTCAAACCAGAGGACTTACCACCCGAGACTTGTAACGCTGGACTTGAAATACATGTTAACTACAACGTGTTGGACCTACAACACCTGGAGTTAAGACGTGTACGGAGGAAATAGGTCAAATAATGTACACACAGTCAAGGTCGGGGGTAATGTATACACACACACACATGTACACAATCAGGTGAAAAGTCATGTACACACACACACACACACACACACACACACGTACACAATCAGGTGAAAAGTCATGTGTACACACACACATGTATAAAGATAAGATCAGGAGTCATGTAGACAGTTACATACACCGACAGGAGGTTTGGGTGGATTAGGTACACACACGCACACGTTCGTCTACAGACATAATCAAGGACGTGTTCACACATACGTACACGGACTCAACAACCACAGCAAATAACAACAGTCCTGTCACCACCACCACCACAACCAACACTACTGCCACCGTCACCACCACCACCACCACACATGTTTATACCCTTTATAAACACTTTGATCTTCCCTCAGAAATAATAGATCACGCGCCACTTCCTCCTCACTCACCCAACAAACCCAAAAAGACCCCAGCATTTAATATACCCTTTGATATACCCTTTAATACACCCTTTATAAGACTACAGTAATTTCAGAGATAAAAGCAATCATTCCAACAATATTCAGGCAAGTTTAAAGAGAGGTATTCAATCGTCAACAAATAAAAGACCAAGTTCCAATAATATTTTCCACTGATGAAAAACAGATACTTTTCCCCTACAGCCCCGTCACACAAGCCACCCTCACACACGGGCTACAAATACATAACCTTAGTAGGGGAGTCTCGCCTTAACGTGCATGTGAGGGATGGATCTATCTTCCCCCCCCTTCCTCCTCACCCGCTGTGGATGATTTAATTTTCTAATGTGGAGGCACTGTGACGTCACCGCCGCCATCATTCCCACCACCGCCATTCCTCCAACCATTACCATTCCTGTCATAATTCCTACCAACACCCGCCACCATTCCCACCAACACCCGCCACCATTCCCACCAACACCCAGTATAATATTACAACCAAAAACAAGCTATATCTATCATCTCTGTTGTTGTTGTTGACGTAATGCAGCAGAGACACGTGGCGCCTCTCAGCGGGCAGGAGGGGAACTATAGCAGGTGAGGGTTGCCGAGGTCTCTATGTCTCTATGTCTGTCTTAGTGTAATATTTTAATTTATATGTAGATAGACAGTCATACAGACAGGTAATAATAACTTAATAAGACAGACAGACAGAGATAGACAGACAGACAGACATACACTCAGACAGACAGACAGAGAGAGAGAGAGAGAAACACCTCCCTCTCTCTCACACGGGAAAAAACACCGTTAAAATATGCATATAAAAATCCCTTTTCAATATATCTCCGGGAAATACACGAGTCTCCCCCCCCCTCACTACACCACCATTTTCCCTCCCCACCCCCCACCCCCTTCCCCCTCCTATTTTCATATTTCAGTTGTAAATTCTGTTTTATTGTCATGGTTCATCTCGGAGCGGCGCTGTGGTGTATAGTGACTTATTCACATACAGTTTATACATATACATATATAGTGTTTATGTATTATTATATGCATGGGAACTTTTGTATACATTTACGACACACACACACACACACACACACACACCAGTAGCAACAGGAGACGCCCGCCAGACACCCGGGTGAAGGTGTGACAAAACAGACAGACAGACAGACAGACAGACACATTCCCTGACGGTGTGCCCAGGTGACGCCCGAGAGAGAGAGAGAGAGAGAGAGAGAGAGAGGTCCCCACTCCTATCTCTCATTATCTGACGTCATCACAACAAACTGCCCAATAACTCTGCCTTTCCTTAACTACACACAAACTGCCATTAAGCGTACTGTGGGCGGAGCTAAACGGTATAACCACCAATCACGTCGTCTTAATATGTCTAGAATGTATTTAACTGGTGAGATATCATGGTGTGGGCGGAGCTTAACGCTAAAACCCACCAATCAGAGCGTCTCACTGCAGTATAATGATTAATGATTGGTGGATGGCGGCACGCAGGTGGTGTTGACCTTCATATTTCAGGAAATATCAATAATCGACCCGTGTTGACCTCAAATAACCCCGTGACCTGTTGCCCTCTGGTGAGTAACGACGGTAACACTAATCACTTTTACAGTATTATAATAATAATAATGACAATAATAATAATAATAATAATGACAAATAATAATGATAATATAAAAAAAAATTCGGCCAATCAAAATACTGCCTGTACGTCCAACCACCCATCAACCAATCATAGGCCAGAACGAGGCAGTGTTACCAGATGTTGGGTTCAATCACACCAACACCATGTTAATTAATGCTAATACTCTGGAAGCTTGAAGGTGGCGAGGCTGCTCTGGCAACACTGTTATGCAAATGTGAGGTCTGGCAACACTGCTATATGTATGAGGGAAATCTGGCAACACTGCTATGTCATAATCATAATAGTTGAGCACCAAAGCACCAATCAACGCCCACCAAGCCCTCAAACGCGTGGATTCCGACAAATAATTACCATAACGACCACGGGTAATTGGACACCTCTATTAACCGGGACTGTCTATTAACCAGGACTGTCTATTAACCAGGACTGTCTATTAACCGGGACTGTCTATTAACCAGGACTGTCTATTAACCGGGACTGTCTATTAACCGGGACTGTCTATTAACCGGGAGAGTCTATTAACCAGGACTGTCTATTAACCGGGACTGTCTATTAACCAGGACAGTCTATTAACCGGGACTGTCTATTAACCGGGAGAGTCTATTAACCGGGAGAGTCTATTAACCGGGAGTCTATTAACCGAGACTGTCTATTAACCTGGACTGTCTATTAACCGGAAGTCTATTAACCGAGACTATCTATTAACCGGGAGAGTCTATTAACCGGGACTATCTATTAACCGGGACAGTTTATTAACCGGGAGTGTCTATTAACCGGGATTGTCTATTAACCGGAACAGTCTATTAACCACTTGAACCAATCAGCACACGCCATACCCTCATCCACGTGCATTCTGCTTAATTCAACCATGACACTGTTACCACATCAACAAATCAATTAATGGTAATTCCGTTACAGGTTGAGGCTGGCGACGCAGTTCTGGCACCACTGGCGTGTGATAATAAGAATATATAAGGAGCCAATCAGAGTATATTAAGCCCTGATACGCGTGTATTCTACTAAGGTGGACCTTGACAGTGTTACCACATCAATGATTTAATTAGTGATGGTTTTGGGCAATGGCTACAGGTGGTGACAGTTCTGGCATCACTGGTAAAAGATAATAATAATAATAGTAATAATAACAGTAAAAATAATATTAATAATAATAACAATAATAATAATAATAATAATAATAATAATAATAATAATAAATTCCCGGGCCAGTGGAAGTTGTTTGGACATACTTCCTAGCCCCCATTAGTCCCTGTTCACCTAGCAGTAAAGTAGGTACCTGTTGTAAGTCGAAAAGTTGTGAATTAGTATTCAGGGAAAGTTGTTGGAGCTTCCAATAACTTGATGACATTAACCCTTGACTCTTCAGGCTTCTACGCCCTTGACTCATGAGACATAAACGCAAGCATGAACTTAGCATGCTTCCCTGTTGGGCGCTGTAAACGCTTCACCTTACACAGGATGTAGGGGAGTGTCCAATAAATAATAATAAAAAAGTTATAATAATAAAAAAATAAATAAAATAATAATAATAATAATAAAATAATAATAACAATAATAATAATAATAATAATATTAATAAAATAATAACAATATTAATAATAATATTAATAATAACAATAATAATAATAACAACAACAACAACAACAAGCAAGGAACCAATTATCGTTTATCAAGCCCCGAAACGCGTGCATTCTACCAAAGATGGACCTTGACAGTGTTACCACATCAATGAATTAATTAATGACGGTGAAGGGTGATGGTGCCGGTCTGGTAACACTGCTATGTGGGTCACGTTCTCAGGTAATCAATACAATGCGCTTTGCCAATTGTCTGCCGTCCCTGTTGATGCGTTTGTTTCCGTGTCTGTGTGTTTGTGTGTAGGTGAATGCGTGTATGTGGGGGTGTATGTGTGTTTGTGTATATGTGGGGTGTATGTGTGTTTGTGTGTATGTGGGGGTGTGTGTGTGTGTGTGTTTGTGTGTATGTGGGGATGTCTGTGTGTATGTGTAGGTGTTTGTGTGTGTGTGTGTGTGTGTTTGTGACTGTGTTTATAATGTTGTAAGTCATCAGGATAAAATATACATTGCTAAATATAATAATAATAATAATAATAATAATAATCCAACCATGGCTTCGACACTGTATAGCCAAGCATGCAGTGTGTGTGCGTGTGTGTGTGTGTGAATCCTGAGACACATTCCACTATTTACATCAAGACTCTGAAGCTAAAATTATTGCAACATTCCACCATTTTTTTTTCTTATGTGTACTAAGTTATTTTGTCCTTGTGATGACATTTGGGGTAATTAATGACGTCAGGTGTCCGAGGAAATGTTCATATAATTTTCCTACATTAAAGAGTGATAGAATTTTAATTATAGCAGATATATTATTGAGATATAGTTAAAATAGTGAATGAATATGCTGAAAATGAACGACCACCCAAGACATCAACACTGGCGTCAGGGCTGCCAACCCCACCGACGACTACAAACAAACCATAGGAACCCGGTCTGTCTGTGTGACGTCATAGTTCTAGAAATACTAAGTCTTTTCTCACAATCAAATCAAACATAGGTGTGTGTTAAGTTCACCTCATGTACACTCATTCACACGGTGTAGCTCGGTTACATGTGGTTTGGTAAGGTTGGTATTATGCTGCTGAAGTCAGTGTGAATATGACGTCACAGGAGGCTCTGACGTAAAATTGTCCTTATAAGCTATCAAATGAGCTTATGTTAACCCCATTCAGCAGAGACTAGAGCCGAATTCTTGGGGTTAGGAATTGAGTTAGGTCAGGTCAGATTAGGTTAGGACAAGATAATAGTCGAGACCCTCACCTCCACATACCCCTCACCTCACCCCCCCCCCTCACTTGTTGACCGAGCACCAGAGCCTCACAACACCTCCTAGGCCGCCATTGTCTGCCGCCCATTGTTGCTGCACCTCTCAGGGGGAAACTCTCAGCTCTATCTCACTATAATTATGAGAATACACTTATCTCCCTAACTTTAGTAGTAGTAATAGTATTAACAGTAGTGTGTGTGGTTCTTCCTGTAGACGTCGATCACGCCATGGTGTGCAAGAAAGGGGGCTTCATATGCATGAGGCATGACGAAGTAAGGGATCTCACAGCAAATATGTTGAAGGAAATATGCCGTGATGTCAGGGTAGAACCGACCCTCCTTCCATTGGACGGTGAGACTTTCCAACATAGGACTTCAAACACATCCAACGAAGCCCGTGTTGACGTCAGTGCTCGAGGATTCTGGACGCGGGGACAGCGAGCCTTCTTCAACATCAGGATTTTTGATCCCATGGCTGCATGTCACCGTAACTTAGCTCTCGGTGCGGCACACAGGAGGAACGAGAACGACAAGATAAGGGCATATGGGGAGAGAATTCAGAACGTTGATCAAGGCAGCTTCACTCCTCTAGTGTTCACAACCTCTGGTGGGATGGGACCAAGTGCAAGATGATTCTACGCTAGACTCGCGGAGGTGATATCCGAACAGAAGCAGCAGCCCAGAAGTTATGTTACAGCCTGGATGAGATGTCGAGTGTCCTTCTTTCTCCTTAGGTCTGTTTTGCTCTGCCTCAGGGGAACGAGAGCAACGGCCCCAAAGCCGATAACAGTTGCGGATATTGATTATGAGGCAACAGTCACTAAGTGCCGCATAGATCTGCGACTCAATACAGCTAGAGTAGCTACTTATGTATTAGGGTATTTAATTTTAAGGTAATAAAATGGCGGCGAAGGTTTGGCTATTGGCGGAGGCTGGAGGCCACGTAAAAAAAGTAGTACTAGTAGTATAGCAGTAGTAGTAGTAGTATATATTTCTAAATACATTACAATACCACGGTGTGTTGGATACACAAATAATAATGGATGCCTCTCGTGTAACGAGGATGGCCGGCCCAAGGGCTACTTGGGCGTGAATTTGTTTAAGGTGTAGAAGCTGTCGCCAACACAACAACCACACCCTGAAGCTATCACCAACACAACAACCACACCCTGAAGCTATCACCAACACAACAACCACACCTTAAGTTAACGAGTTACAGGGCCCAGTGTCAAGGAATAGTCCGAGAAGACCGGACATCTCGCCAACTGCACTGGCTAACCATCACCCCGGAACACGATCCACAAATCGATTAACATCCAGGTCCCCAATTACTGCTGGGTAGACAGAGGCAAATGACGTAAAGAAACTGGATAGACATATAAACACACAAACATCACTTCTAACACACCTGAACCTTTTATAAACGCAAAAGGTTCACAATACTCCCCTGATATATGAGTTTTAGAACCTAGAACCACTATAGCTTGGGTAAAAGGTTCTGAAGGCGAGATACGTTCAAACACTTTAGTTACACGAGGAAAAATTGAACACAGGATCAGAACCTTTCATAACGCGAGTAAAGATGATGTACAAGTCACGTGGTGTATAGGAACATTAACCCCCCACCCACCCCCCTCTCTCTACCACCTCCCTAGTTCCCCTTCCCCTCTCTTTCTCTACCCCCTCCCTAGTTCCCTCTCTCAAGCCCCCCCCCTCTCACCCCCCCTTTTTAACTCACTTCCTCCCTCTCCCCCTCACCACTACCCGCTAATTCCACGCTTAAACGCACCCCACTCCCTCACCCTGTCCACCCACACCCACCTGCCTGCCCACCCACGCCCACTTGGCAAGGTGTGAGTTTTTATTTGATAAGATTAAGTAGATGTTCGTGGCATATATTTACGGGGGTAGAGGGGGGTGAGGGGTTTCATACGCAACATACCACCTGTGTTCACTGTGTTACGCTCATCACACCCACCTGTCTTACGTCATCACACCTACCCAGGCATGTCATCACAATCATCTGTCTACGTCATCACACCAGCTGTCTTACGTCATCACACCACCTGTGTTACGTCATCACACCACCTGTCTTACGTCATCACACCACCTGTCTTACGTCATCACACCACCTGTCTTACGTCATCACACCACCTGTCTTACGTCATCACACCACCTGTCTTACGTCATCACACCACCTGCACCAGCTGGCTCACCCAAACACGACCCTGATAAAGCGAACATCACACTAACACCCTGCAGCTGGTGACGGAGGTGGTACTTGTAGGAATGGGTGACGGAGGAAGGTGACGCAGGCAAGTGACGCAGGAGAGTGACGCAGAGTGACGAAGGAAAGTGTGGCGAAGACAGGTAAGTGACGGAGATAAGAGACGGAAGAAAGAAACATGGAGAGACAGGTGACGGAGGAGGGTGACGGAGGAGGGTGACGGGGGCGAGTGACGGGGACCAGATCTTGAGATGGGTGTTGATGTAAGAGTGAGATTAAGTTGGTGACGAACGAGGACCTGGTGACGATTTACAAGCACAGGACGACATGAAGAGAGGGAGGACGATATTTCTGGAGGTGGTGGTGAGGGGGAAGAGGTGGTGGGGGAGGAGAGGTGGTGGGGGAGGGGAGGTAGTGGAGGAGGAGGGGAGGTAGTGGAGAGAGAGGTAGAGATTATTAATAACAGGCGAAGTGGCATCAATCTTAGACACATTATGATTTATGACTTAACCCCTTGAAGACTTAACCCCTTGAAGACGATGACTTAACCCCTTGAAGACGATGACTTAACCCCTTGAAGACGATGACTTAACCCCTTGAAGACGATGACTTAACCCCTTGAAGACGATGACTTAACCCCTTGACAACGATGACTTAACCCCTTGAAGACGATGACTTTCTCTTGTCCACACAGTAACATGCCAACAACGTGACTGATTCTCTCCAAAGGTTGCCAGTAGTTCGCTTGAAGGTCAGGGAAGGCACCTACAAATTCTGGACTTGATCTGTTCCTACCGACGGCCGCCGCAGCTGTAAGGGTTAAGTCAAGTGTTTTTGGCAATAACCTGGGAGTGTTTCGTCAGTGATCTCCGCCTTGGGAGTTTGGCCGCGGAGGTCGTGTGTGTGTGTGTGTGTGTGTGTGTACCCTACCAGCAGTCCATGACGGGCGTGTCGGAGTTATTGAACAACACACACACACACACACACACACACACACACACACACACATAAAGGAAACACAC